TCAGAAGCCTGCATCCCAAGAAAGGGGAAAAAATTCATAGGCAGGAATTGTAGACCAAGCTGGATGAGCAAGCATCTCAGAGAGGTGATTAAAAAAAGCAGAAAGCCTACAAGGAGTGGAAGATGGGAGTGATCAGCAAGGAAAGCTACCTTATTGAGGTCAGAACATGCAGGGATAAAGTGAGAAAGGCCAAAAGCCGTGTAGAGGGGAGGGAATTAAAACCAATAGTAAAAGGTTCTATAGCCATATAAAGAAGAAGAAAACAAAGAAAGAAGAAGTGGGGCCGCTAAACACTGAGGATGGAGTGGAGGTTAAGGATAATCTAGGCATGGCCCAATATCTAAACAAATATTAGCCTCATTAAAGACTGAGGTAAAGTGAGGAGCTTAGGGATAATGGTAGGATGACAAATGGGAATGAGGATATGGAGGTAGATATTACACATCTGAGGTAGAAGCCAAACTCGAACAGCTTAATGGGACTAAAATCGAGGGGCCCAGATAATCTTCATCCAAGAATATTAAAGGAACTGGCACATGAAATCGCAAGCCCATTAGCAAGAATTTTTAATGAATCTGTAAACTCAGGGGTTGTACCATATGACTGGAGAATTGCTAACACAGTTCCTATTTTTAAGAAAGGAAAAAAGTGATCTGGGTAACTACAGGCCTGTTAGTTTGACATCTGTAGTATGCAAGGTCTTGGAAAAAATTTTGAAGGAGAAAGTAGTTAAGAACATTGAGGTCAATGGTAATTGGGACAAAATACAACATGGTTTTACAAAAGGTAGATCGTGCCAAACCAACCTGATCTCCTTCTTTCAGAAGGTAACAGATTTTTTAGACAAAGGAAATGCAGTGGATCTAATTTATCTCGATTTCAGTAAGGCATTTGATACGGTTCCACATGGGGAATTATTAGTTAAATTGGAAAAGATGGGGATCAATATGAAAACTGAAAGGTGGATAAGGAACTGGTTAAGGGGAGACTATAACGGGTCATACTGAAAGGTGAACTGTCAGGCTGGAGGGATGTTACTAGTGGAGTTCCTCAGGAATTTGTTATGGGACCAATCTTATCTAATCTTTTTATTACTGACCTTGGCACAAAAAGTGAGAGTGTGCTAATAAAGTTTGCGGATGACACAAAGCTGGGAGGTATTGCCAATACAGAGAAGGACCGGGATATCATATAGGAAGATCTGGATGACTTTGTAAACTGGAGTAATAGTAATAGGATGAAATTTAATAGTGAAAAGTGCAAGGTCATGCATTTAGGGATTACTTACAAGAATTTTTGTTATAAGCTGGGGACGCAGCAGGTGGAAGTAACAGAGGAGGAGAAGGACCACGGAGTATTGGTTGATCACAGGATGACTATGAGCCGCCAATGTGATATGGATGTGAAAAAAGCTAATGCGGTCTTGGGATGCATCAGGTGAGGGATTTCCAGTAGAGATAAGGAGGTGTTAGTACCATTATATAAGGCACTGGTGAGACCTCATCTGGAATACTGTGGGCAGTTCTGGTCTCCCATGTTTAAGGAGGATGAATTCAAACTGGAACAGGTACAGAGAAGGGCTACTAGGATGATCTGAGGAATGGAAAACCTGTCTTATGAAAGTAGACTCAAAGAGCTTGGCTTGTTTAGCCTAACCAAAAGAAGGCTGAGGGGAGATAAGATTGCTCTCTATAAATATATCAGAGGGATAAATATCAGGGAGGGAGAGGAATTATTTAAGATCAGTACCAATGTGGACACAAGAACAAATGGATATAAACTGGCCATCAGGAAGTTTAGACTTGAAATTAGACAAAGGTTTCTAACCATCTGAGGAGTGAGGTGAAGTTCTGGAACAGCCTTCCAAGGGGAGTAGTGGGGGCAAAAGACATATCTGGCTTCAGGACTAAGCTTGATAAGTTTATGGAGGGGATGATATGATGGGATAGCCTAATTTTGGCAATTAATTGGTCTTTGACTATTAGCGGTAAATATGCCCAGGGGCCTGTGATGGGATATTAGATGGGGTGGGATCTGAGTTACTACAGAGAATTCTTTCCTGGGTGTCTGGCTGGTGAGTCTTGCCCACATGCTCAGGGTTTAGCTGATCGCCATATTTGAGGTCGGGAAGGAATTTTCCTCCAGGGCAGATTGGCAGAGGCCCTGGGGGTTTTTCGGCTTCCTCTGCAGTGTGGGGCACTGGTCACTTGCTGAAGGATTCTCTGCACCTTGAAGTCTTTAAACCATGATTTGAGGACTTCAATAGCTCAGACATAGGTTAGGGGTTTATTACAGGAGTGGGTGGGTGAGATTCTGTGGCCTGCGTTGTGTAGGAGGTCAGACTAGACGATTATAATGGTCCCTTATGACCTTAAAGTCTATGATTCTTAAGTCAAACCCAGTGCAATTTTCTCATGTAGCCAAGCCCTGAGTGATGGGTAGGGTTTCTCTGCCTTTCCACTTTTAGAACAAGAGGCCCTAGTGTCCCTGATATTCTCTGCCTCAGGACTTTGGGAAAGCCAGTCAGCATGTGCTGCCCCTTGATGACACTTTAAGTAGTAATGATATCTCATCAAAAGAATTGCTAATAATATTGTAAATAACCAGCAGCTTTATAACCATTCTTAACTCACAATCTCAAATAGTATAAGAGTACAGTTATCACCCAGGCCACCTCGCTATAAAAGCACAAATGATATAGAATGATAAATTTCATTTTGCAAACTCTGTTATACAGATTGCTTTACCCTGCAGGAGTTCAAATTCCTCTAAACAATGAGCAGGACCCTTCTCAAGGTTACAGATTCTTTCAAAGACTCTGGTATGAATCTAATTTTTTATTTATAAACCTGGTTGAAAGACTGAAATCAAAGCTCATTCTTGTTTCTCCCAAAGTTCCAGAGTCAGCCTGCATTCCGCAGAGCCCACATTTGGGATTCTTACTTGTCTAATTTTTCTTCTGCATGGATTTTTAGGGCTTGATACCGCTGCTCTTCCTGTTTGACCCGGGCTAAGTAATCCTGAGCACATTTTTTCAAAGCTTCTTCATTCTGGAAGATAAAAATTGCAAAACAATGGTGACTAATTTGAAATGGAGTTGAGCATGTCACACTGTGCTGATACGAACTACAAAACTGACACCCAGATGGAAATTGAGGTTCACAATTTGAAGTATTTTTTATTCTTCCGACAGATTGCTCATTTATGCTATGGCCTTTTTACACCACTCTGATAATGTTTTTATAATCCCTTGCCTTTGCTCCAGCCCTTTGCTTGGATCCCTCTGCTACTTCTGATGTCTATTGTTCACAGAGTACAGGGAGAACGCGACCGTAAAATCTATAAAGAGGATCAGGCTCCCTGCTGCGATCAGCTCCAGCAGCTCTTATCACTGGCTTCCTGTGACATTTACAACCCGGACAGGTACCCTGCTTATTCATCCCAATGCTGACATATAAACGCAAGCACCGGAAACATCCTTCGACTGAGGGCAAGGAGTAGAGCTGGGCAATTTTTTGACTTGTTTTTGGTGAAAAATGAAGATTTGGCGACATTAAAACAATTTGCAAATTTGTATCAATTTTGCCAGATGGTTTCAAATGAAAAAAAAATCTGAAAAAAATTAAACATTTAATTGCAACGTTTTAAAAATAAACCATCCTGATGTTTTTATTTGAAATGACTTTTAGCTTAGAAATGTCCTTTAATTTTATTATTAAAAATGCTCCATATCAAAACAAAACGTTCTGGTCACCCTGAAATGAATTTTTTTTACTTTCTGATTTGCTGAAAATTTCAAAAAATTTCATTTTCAGTTTGACCCGAAACAATTCTGTCCCCCACCCCACCTCCCTGCCCCGAAATCTTGGCCTTGCCAGTGTATTGAGAAATCTGTTATTTGCCCAACTCTACCGAGGAACATTGATTCAAAGTGGCGTTGGGGACATAGGACGACCAGAACAGTATTGGACAAGAAACAATAATAGCCTGTGTGCTTCTATAACCCCTTAACCAGAAACCATTGGATAGGACATCACACAGGCAGCACAGGAGGTACAACAAGGAAGAGGAAAGCAAGTCTCCTAAGAGAGTAAAGGACCTTCTTAAACCCTTCCAGAATGCCCTTCAGGTTCTCGTATCTCCGAAACAGATCCGACAGGGACCTTTCTACGGAGTTCAGGTCTGCCAGGGCCTGTTCCTTTTCCATCGTGAGCTGCTGCAGACTCTTCTGGGAGGCCATGTTTGTCCTCTGTTCATCTTCTGTGAATTAGAAGTAAATTACATTTACATCAAAACTCTCTTTTTCTGAAATGGAGACTGCTGCAGCAACGGCCCCAGGGTTATCGCTCCAAATTGCCCCATGACAGCCCTGGCTTGGAGTCCAAGCGCGAGGGACTCTCAGGAGCAAGCAGGGATGAAAGCATAACTGCCGTCACTGCAGTGGTCCTCACTGGCCAACTTCGGATGTTGCTGATAGCTCTTCCAGGGGAGCCTCTGTCAGCCCACCTTGACTGGACGATACATGGTCACGGTGGAAAGTCGGGGTGCGGGGAGGGAGGGGGAGGTGTCTAACGGAGAGGAACCTCAGGGCTATGGGAACACGTGGAACCTCCAACTTAGAAAACCTAACTGTCATTTGTCAGGACGGAGAGAAGCTGGTCAGGGCAGCTAGTGGAGTGGGAGTAAGGGATTCTGCTTCATGCTCCTTACGGAGGCCAGTCCTGGTTGTAACAGCAGATGAGCACTGAACTAGGGGAAGCAGATGAAACTGGGTCCATTTTTCTCTGTGTTGTTACTGTGATCAGCATCCCACAAGCCATCCCGAGGCCACCAACTTCCTAACGCTAGTGACGGCTGCCACCCAGAGAGATCTTACCTATCATCTGGGCAATGGTCTTTTCATATTCAGCCACGATTTTCCTAGAACGAAAGGGGACAGGGGACATTTACACACAGTCTGGGGTTTTGTTTGTATCTGTGAAGCTCTGTTGCTGGCAAACTGCAGCTGGTATGTTGTTGCCAAGTCCACTTCTTAAGGCTTTGGGAAACAAAATGACACCAGCCAGTTCCAGAGGCAGCCTGTGTGCACAGTCTGAAACTATATGTATAGTCACTGAAACAGACTAGATTATAGTTCTGATTCCTCTCAATCACCTCCTCTTTTCTCCAGTAATATCTGCCATCCAGCTGACCTGGCCTTCCCCTGGGCTCTCAGGCATGCACAGTTAATAGGATTTTACTCTTGCCACAAAGAATATGACAGACTTGTTACAGTCTGAGCATGATGAGCTCACGGCTTGTAACATGTTCCATCCTGAGCATGGCTATCCATGATATCTTATTACCACCAGGGTGAACTAAACCACAAGAGTCACAAAAGAAGAGAAGCATGAGCAGCTTTTCAGTACCAAGCAATTCAGCACCCCAAAATCAACAGCTTTTGCTTCAATATACAATGGCTACATGGAAAGTCCCCCAAGAGTCAGGCATGATTTGATCTGTAGCTCTGTGTAGAAATGCTAAGGGATAATGTTGGGGGGGGGGTGAACACCTGAGAGCTCAGATTTTTACCTCATTTCCAAGACTTCTTGTCGGCTCTCTTCATATTTTTTCTTCCATTCATTTGCTTCGATCTCCTTAGTGATTATCTACATGGTAAAGGAAACAAAATGCAAACTCTAACTCTCCACCTCCAGGCATACAAGGGCTGTCTTCCAGGAGGTGGATCCCTACACCCAAAGCTCAGCTTCAGACTGTGAATTGGGAATGTTGTAGAGGATAGTCAGAGACATTAAATCCAATCACTAGCAATGCAAAACCCGAACACTTTGATATTAGCTGAAGACAGCTCTTTAGAAGATTACCAGCAATGGGCAAAGATTTAATCTAGATTCCAGTGCTGGCTCAAAATGTTCGGAGCCTCTAATTGCAAACGTTTATGAAGCATTTCTGCTGAAAATTACATACTTATGCCACTTGAAAAATAAATGTTAAGTGGCAAGCTTGAGGCATGAGGAGATGGTTGCCCCAAAGCCTGCCACTGCACATCAACACAGGTGCTCAGCTGGGGTTTTACAGTAAGGGACCTGTGCAGATCTTGGATAAATTCATGGCTATAAAACTCTCCCCTTTTGTAAAAAGCAACAAATAGTCCTGTGGCACCTTATAGACTAACAGACGTATCGGAGCATAAGCTTTCGCGGGGAATACCCACTTCGTCAGACGCGCCGAATATGTCTGTTAGTCTATAAAGTGCCACAGGACTCTTTGTTGCTTTCTACAGATCCAGACTAACACGGCTACCCCTCTGATACTCTCCCCTTTTGGAGTCTCGCTTTTGCCACAAGACGATGGAAGTGTGAGAGTGGGGGGATCTGCTGCTATCTTCTTTGCAGGCACCTTCTGCAGGCTAGGAGAATTGCTGGCCAAGCAGTAGGAGGGTACCCAAGAGGAACAGAAAGATTACAAACTACAAAGATTCTCCAGCACTTGATGATTTTAAAATCCAGACTGGATGCCTTTCTGGAAGGTGTACTTCAGCCAGACACAGGATTTTGGGCTCAATATAGAGTAATGGGGTGAAATTGTAATGGCCTTTACTATAGAGGTCAGACTAGATCTACTGTTCCCTTCTAGCCTTAAACTCCATCCCCTGCCCCACCGTGTCTGCTGAGAATGTCACCCCCCAGAGCATCTCTGCCTCTGGGAGGCTAGTTCCCACATCCTGGATACACCTGTGATGTGACACCAGTGGGGAGCAGAAGTTATATTATTAGTGTGTGGTAGTCCCTAGAGGCCCCAATGGAGATCAGGGCCCCATGGTGCTGGCTGCTTCACACACACAGGCTGAGATGAATTCCTGCTCTGGGTGTACACATTTTGCTGCCCTGAGCAGGCACCAGCCCCGACAGTGCTGAGTCACCATTACCTCTTCTCTTATTAAAGTGAGCACGGCTGTTTTGTCAGATTCACTGAGGCAAATGCTTTCCAGAGGACTTTCACTTCCACTCGCTCCGGTCGTCATGGCCCCAGGGGCTTTGTCCTTTGAGCACAGTCCAGAATTGCCCTGCGGTGACAAGAATTACTACTCAATGATACATTCGATCTGCAGCTTTTCTGCCCAACTGCCTGTATTTGGGGTATGTCTCCACATTCTAAAGTCCTTCCTTCACCCATCCTGTATTTGTACACTGAAAATTCAGAGGCTTGTCTCCATTGTGGGAAGGAAACAGTGCAGTGTCCGGTCTGGGTACAAACCCTATCATTCCGGTCATGCCCAGTCCCCTTCAGGTCCCATTGTCTGTTGAGGCTGGATGAGTGGTTCCCTCCAAAGTCACTTGAAAATGCAGCTGTCAGACTGGCATACGGGCACACGCTTCCACTGCAGAGTGAGGGGTTTGATGCATGCTCTAGGAGGAGCAGGAGCTCACAGGATGTGTGCACAGTGAAGCGAAAACAGGCCCTAAGGGAAGTCTCTTGCTAATGCATCTGATGGGCAAAGGTTTGAGTCCCTTCCAGGTCAGCCTGGCCTCTGTCTCTAGGTTACCATCCTTTAGAAATCCAATAAACTTTGAGTCCTGAATAGGATGCTAGATTTAAACCAAACGTAGAAATGGCAGAAAACCCATTTCCCAGGACCTATATCAGACAGTTTCTAATGAAGATGTTGCCAGAGCCAGATCCCACAATATCATCACACTCCCTTTGCTACATGCCCCGTGCTGCTACCGATTTAAAACAGCTCCAGGCACGTGAGCTTTGCTAAGTGTTGTTAATTGCAGCAGCCTATGTCAGGGCCTGCAGGGGACAGCGGATCCCGTGCCAGTCACCTCCCATTTAATGGGGGATTCGCTACAGCCGGCGGCAGTTGTATAGAGGTTTGCTCAGCCTGGGTTATTTTGCTGGGCTTCACAAGTGGTTGTAGGGTCAGACAGCCTTCATGCAGGAAGCAGTGTCGATTATCTGTCTCCGCAGAGCAGCCATCTAGCTGACACCCCTGTGCAGACAGGCTCCAATCATTGCCTCCCTGATTGGAGACAGATCACCGTCCCCTTCCCTCTGTATTAGCATGTGCTGCAGCAGCAACCTCCTCTTGGAACAACTGGTCCAGCGGGGTATTTAACACGCTTCCTTAGAGCAGGAGGTCATCAGATAGGGCCATGACAGTCTGTGTTCTCTGGAACGCTTGCTGCATATTCTCTGACCAACTACTCAAAGCAGCCTCATCCGGGACACACCCCATGAAAACCAAGAGTCTCTCCTGCCCGGGAGAACTTCACAATCTAATACCCTGATCTGGATATCAATGCACCTTTCACAGATTTCCCCTGCTACTCTTACTAATGAGCAAAGTCACAGGTGCTCTACCTTGGCACTTCTCCACTCAGAACCCATCTCCTCTTACTTGAATCTGCAAGGAAATCACAACACTAAAATCATTTAGAAAAGGCCTCATATACTGCACCCCCGAGGGGTTTATTCTCCACTGTTGCAGCCAATCTAGCTTTAAATATCTCCAATCCCTTCTCTTGGGAGATTCCTCCACAGCCTGACAGATCTCACTGTTAGAAAATCTTTCCTTATAGCTAGTCTCCTAAAATGTCCCTTTCTTAATTTTATACCACTAATCCCAGCTACACTCCCTTCCCAGTTATCTGCTTGGCCACCGGCCACAAACAGAGAAGCATTATATCGAGGAGCTAATCAAAGTTTGTGCAGCGTTTTGTAAATGAAAAACAGCCTTTCTCTGAGCAGTAAGTTCTAGCGTTTTTCAGTCCCAAGCCAGATGCAGAATCTTGTTTGGTTAGTGAGGGTGAAAGTTCTTATTACGCAGCACAGCGGCAGGTGAGTGAACACAGCAAAGTAATGGGAGCGTCAGCTGCTCTCAGCACAAATGCTCTGAGATCCCAAGCTGGTGCAATTGGAAAAATCTCTTTAATGCAACCCCTGCCCATGGCCACGCAGTGCACCAAGAGAGGAGCTCCTTGGGAGTAACAGCTCTGGGCATAGCTTGGAGACTCCCCGATGACACCCTACACTAGGGCACATACTCCTGAGCACTCGGCAAGTAACAATCCCCCATGTTTCCCGCTCCCCAAATCAGCCGCTCCCACTTCCTGCCAAGCTCCCAGTTCCAAGGAAGAAACAAACTGCCCTGGACACTGACCATGACTTGTCTGACTGAGCAGAGGGTCTCCCTCTAATGTGGCCCAATACCCGTCTGAGCCCTGCATGCCCATGTCCACCCCAGAGCCTCCCTGTAGCAACTAATGCATTACACTGAACCGTTAGAACAGCTGCAAGGCTCTGGAGACCTCAGCTGGGAATCCCCACAGAAAGCAAGTACTTTCCCCTTGGTTTGCTTTACTAATGTCCTTGGGAGGCTTAGGGTAGTGAAATCTGTCCCAGGGAAGCTGAGCTGGCTGCTGGGGTTAATCTCATTGTCATCTGCCTGCCACCTTCCTCTCTTAGCTGTTCCAGCCGCGTGGAGCTGAGCTGGCGTAGCATGTCCCCTTGCCCACAGCTCTGTCGCAGTAGGAAAGGGATTTTATCAACACACCGGTCACAGCTGCTCCGACACTGCTGCCTGGCTCCCAGCAGTGCACGAGGCTGAGATAGCAGGACACAGAGCGACTGATAGGAGTACACGGAGTTGCACTGGCAGCAGCAGTGCTCTTTCGATCACCAGGGCTGTTTTATCTCCTCCTCAGTGGACACCATCCTGGGAGCGATCAAGCTGGCTTCCAGAAGCAGAATTTGAGGCCCTTTCCTATAGGGTGTGAGAGCTCACTTCCCCATCGCTATTCACTGTGATTGGTTCCAGAGAGGCACCGGATTTTTATTCGCTCCACCAGTCTGTGTTTTCTGTTTCTCTCTTTTCCTCTCTTCTCCCATCCCCATCAGCCCCAGCAGCAGACACTGCAGCGGCACGCTATCCACGACCACTTCAGCGCCATGCATCGCCCAGCAGAGGGAGCCGTGCATGCAGCCCATGGGGACAGCAGACTTGCTGTGCATTGATGGGCACCGCCGGCAGCGTCCCACCAGCTTTCAAAAGAGTCTCTTGCCACATGAATCCAATTCATGTTGCAAGGGGATTACACAGAGATTTGAGAATGTTTGTTGTACTAGTAGTACAAAAGTGGGGGTTGTGGAAGCAGAGAAAGAACTGACAGGAAGGGGATGCAATGCATGACAGTTTATTAGCAAGAGTCAGGCTAACTGTAACCCTAATAACGCGAGATTTGTAGAAGCGAGGAATGTGTGAGGCGAGTGGGAAAGAACTGTGTGAGAAGTTGTTGTGACCTTGTGTAGATAATATGGACTGTAGACTAAAAGTTTACAGTAGTGAGCAAAACAAGATATCAAAATGACCTATGTATAAACAAAATGCAGCTGTTGCTCATTATTGTCTGTAACAAAAGGTATAAATGCTTGCTGTAATTGTTTACCTGTTGAGAGACCTGTTTAGCTCTCTCCCTCTATGCAATTGATAGAGAGAAAATAAAGCATCTGACTTGCTGTACCCAAACAAAAAGTGAGAACTGTATTTTTCTCCGACAATGATACCACATGCCAATTTCCCCAAGCACATGGCAATGGGAAGGCAGCTGGCAAGGACACAGAGACGGTCTGCAGGCAAACGCAGCAGCTGTCACTGCCAGCACCTCACAGCCACCGTCTGTCTCTGGGGAGAGTTACTGCGGCTATCGGGCTGCACTGCCTGCTTTTCACCAGCGGCTGCCACAGGATGCCACGTGATGGGGACAAGACTCTCCCTTGTCACTGGTCTGGGCTCTATCCCCCAACTTCTCCTCTTCCACTTCATTCAGGCTGTAAAGCTTCATATCTGGGCATCTTAAAAATGCTCTGACAGCATCTGCGTATGTCTCCACTGCCCATCTGACTCTGGGGATCACAAACATTCACTTGTCCCTCACTCACTCCTGACCACGTGTGGCTCACACACTCCTACCTGTCCTGATTCCCCATGGGACTCCTGGGTGTACAAAGTACCGTCCTCTCTGCCGACAGTTCATGTGCCCCTGCCTTTCCCTGCCCATCAGCCTATTCCAGCACCATCCCATCTGCCTGCCTGGACAAAGCTTTGGGCTGCACGCACAGAAGGAAGGCCTCTCTCTAGAGTGCACTTCAGGGGCTGCTGTGAAATTAGGATTGGTTAAATCCCCAGTTCACAATTTTAAATACATTAGCTCCCAAAGCAGCTTTCTCCTGAGGTGCTTTCAGAAAGACTGCCCACCACTGTGAGGTTGATCCAGAGCCCACTTGGCCATTTCTGCAGCGCCCTGGAGGAGTCAGGCCTGTATCAGGGAATGTGGGATATTAGCGGGCAGAGAGCAGGGATTTGGGGCGATCACTTAGTATATTCAGCATAGTCTCCCTCTTTTCACTGTGCCTGCAAGTGTCTCAATATGCTGGCAGAGGCCAGCTCTTACTCACAAAGAGCACTTCTTACTCATGCAAACAGCCCTGTTCAAGTCAAGGAATGTGAGTAAGGGCTGAAGAATCAGGCCCGTAGTGAATCACGGTGTTTCACAGGGGGGTCACTGGCACAGGAGAAGCCACAGGAGGTCAGAGTAAAGGTGAAGCTGCACTTACCTGGGTGCTGCTGGGCCCATCCTTCTCCTTCTGTTTGGATGTCTCTTTTTCAAACCCTAAAACACAGGGCACAAGGTGTTACAGCCGCCTTGAGAGCATGACTGTCACCCCAGCAAAGAGACTTGCTGGAATAGAAGAGTTTAAGGCCATCTCTTCCAGTTCCCCGAGGCTCAAGATTCCAGGCTCTGTGGGGTTCCTGTCCTTACACAGATGGACAGTTTTATTTTGGGTCAGCACATGGCCTGTTTTCTCACACACAGGGACATGCCCACCCAGGGGGGAACCCTGACAGCAGCAAAGGAGCAGATTTTTTTAGGTTTTTAAGGTCAGGTTTGACAAAGCCCTGGCTGGGATGATTTAGTTGGGGATTGGTCCTGCTTTGAGCAGGGGGTTGGACTAGATGACCTCCTGAGGTCCCTTCCAACCCTGATATTCTATGATTCTATGATACCAGCACCTGCTTTCCAAAGGAGCTGGCAAAGTATGCGGAAGACAATGTAGCAGCTCTGTGTAGGTAGGGGTGCCAAACCATACTGACATTGAACAGGGACCCCAGGGAGGATCAGAGCCCAGAGCAGGAATCATGGGCTAGGGGTGAGGCTGCTGGACTGAAACTCAGGAGACCCAAGTCCAGCTCCTCACCTTGGGCAAATCAATTCTATCCTGTGCCTCAGTTCCCCATCCGTACAATGGGGATGAATGATACCTCCCTACCGCATTCGAGCTGTGGGGATACAAGCCATTAATGACCAGGAGGCGCTCAGATACTATGGTGAGGGGGCCATACAACTCCCCAGATAAGCCGCGCTAGGTGCTGTACAAATGCACATGAAGATGAGAGCTCAAGCTTTTCCTGTTTTCTAACAGGATTTAGTTGAGTGTCTACCAGTCATGGAAGGGAGCTCGATAGGTCATCTAGTCCAGTTTCCTGCACTGAGGCAGGACCAAGTGTTATCTATCCTGGAAGGTGTTTGTCCAACCGGTTCCTGTCAGGGATGGTTCGAAGATATTATTAGAATTAATAGTCCCTACAGGATAAGGTGACGTGCAGCATAGTGGCAACTGCCCACCCTGAGAGCTCTGGGGCAGGCACAGAGGTCTTGCTCCAGCCCCGGGGCTCAAGACAGGAGTAATGGATGGGCACAAAGGAGATCAGAGTTAAGGGGAAACCCATCACGTGATGGAGCTTAGAAGGGATGAGATGCTTCACTCATTCATCATCCTTTGCAGGCCAATCTGTAGAGAGGTCCTTTGGGAGGCAAGGTGGTGCAAGTCTCATTCATTGGGTGTGAGACTCACTCCTTAGCACGCACTCTCACACACACTCCTAAGCTTATCACACTCATTTTAAGTAAAAATATAGAGATTAAAAATATTTTTACTTAGGCACTGCAAGAGACAACAGTAAGCTTGGAAAGATGCTTCCCAAGCTTGTGTACTGCAGTAACCATGGAGATTACAGGCCCTTGTGCGATACGTGTGAGAGAGGACAGAGGAGGCTACGCGGGGGAAGGGGGGGTTGTTTGTGTGAATATTGGACTGTCAAAAAAATATGAATTTGCCCAAAAAACAAGTAGGATTTGATCAAAAGTTTGCGGGTTCTGCAAAATACAGTTCCAAATTTAAACTGCACTGAGCAAATTCACATCCTCGGTGATTTCCAACCACCCAAGTTTTTGTTCCAAACAATCGTTTTGATTAAAATCCACCAGTTTGCACTGCATATAGAATTCTCACGTGCCCTAGCCTTTAGTGGGAATTAGGACAATGAAGTATCAGAGGGGTAGCCGTGTTAGTCTGGATCTGTAAAAAGCAACAGAGAGTCCTGTGGCACCTTTAAGACTAACAGATGTATTGGAGCATAAGCTTTCGTGGGTGAATACCCGCTTCGTCAGACGCAAGGTATTGACGAAGTGGGTATTCACCCACGAAAGCTTATGCTCCAATATATCTGTTAGTCTTAAAGGTGCCACAGGACTCTCTGTTGCTTAGGACAATGAAGCGTTTCCTATGCAATATTTAGCAGTATACATTTTAAAACTATTAAGTGCTGGCTGGGTTAAACACCTGGACTATTGGATGTCACCAAGGAGCAAAGACAAGAGACCCTGTCTTAAGCAATGACCTAGCGCACTTCCTGGAAAGTGTCTCTCTTTGGCCTTGACCCTCACTCTTAAGGACAGCCAGCCCTTGGCATCTCTGTACAGGGCTGGTGTCCATATGCTCGATGGGCGTGAGGATAAAGGGATCCACGCAAGTTCAATCAAGGGAGTGGGGACTCTTCCCCTCCAAATGAAAATCACTGGCCCGCTCCCCACAGGGGCACCCAAGAACAAGAGCGGCAGCGAAGCGGTGGGCTTGCTGATTCAGCGATACCCACCCTGCAGGGCTTCCCTTCTGCTGCACTCAGAGCAAAGCGGGGAACAACGCTTTTGTGGCCATGCCGCAATGTGCCTTTGTCCTTGACAGGTGCCATTCACATCACTCCCCTCGGCTCCTGGCTCCTGACCTTGGCAGTGACAAGGTATTTTCAAGTATCAGAGGGGTAGCCGTGTTAGTCTAAATCTGTAAAAAGCAACAGAGGGTCCGGTGGCACCTTTGAGACTAACAGAAGTATTGGGAGCATAAGCTTTCGTGGGTAAGAACCTCACTTCTTCAGATGCAAGTCATCTGAAGAAGTGAGGTTCTTACCCACGAA